CTCCCACACGTCATTTTGAAGAGGTTGCTGCTGAAACACGGGGACCCCGGTGGGAGCACTTCTCTTCAGCTCCCAATACATTGCTCTGGAATGAGCATCACGCTCATTTACTATTATGAAAGACACCTCAGTCATGTTGCTGCGATTCAGCCTATCACGCAGGCCTCCAATTCTACGGATGAACAGATGGAAGAGAAGATAGAGAGCTGGGTATAATCTCACATCGCTGTTAATCTGGACAGTTGGAAAAGGTTTTTCTAGAATCACAGGACGTCAAAGCCTCGACTCAAGGAACACGGAGGGCTTGTCTGTCTTCAAGTTTTAAGAGAAAAAAAATAAAAGGATGATAAATCTTTACTACACTAATTGTGCAGCAGAATCATGTTCAGAGGCTTATAAGAGGAATTCTGAGCAACTGTCTCTCCACAAGAACACCTTTTGTACAAAGATCATGTTTGTTTTACATTTTTCTTAATTTTACTCTTCAAAATAAGACAAAAAAATCAGCTCGGATTATATGGTCTAATAATACATAATTCTTCTTATATTGTTAATATTGGTATACTGTAATGTTGTATCTGAGCAATTTCAGTAAACACATGAGAGATTTAAGGTCTGTATAAAGATGGTGTGGATTCCTTTTCGGTTTTTCCTTTAACAACATGCTATCTAGAAGTCTATTTAAAATGACTTTTTTAAAACTAAAATACAAATTTGAGGACTATCGGGAAATAGTGTTTCAGAAAATAACAAGACTATAGAGAAAATTGTATTATTAAGAAGCCAATAAAAAAATACATACAACTGGTTAATGGGTTTACTCTTCAAAATAAAACTTAAAAATAGGAGTTTTAACTATTACAACTTTCTTACTTGGATGCCTGCCTGAGGCAGAAGTGTCAGGCAGCCTTCAGCAGCGCCACCACAGCCACGTTTCCCAACAGGTCTTGCATGGGTGCATATCCCTTAATGTCCCACTGGGGGGCAGGTTTGCAGATCCTGGAGGCATCATTGTCCCCCTCCACAATCAGAGTGCTGTGTGAGGCCCACAGCAGGCCTGGCAATGCTGCGAACAGCCACAGCGTCAAGAGAGAGCCCATTGTCTCTCCCTGGCAGCCTGGACTGTATCTACCTGACAAGAAAGACATTGTGCAATAATTGAAAAAACAAAAACAACAAATGTTTTGCACCTAATGTGAAGAAGCGAAGAGAAAAAATCTTTTCCAAGGCTTTGTGGCACAAAGTCAGGGAAAAGGAGATAGCACATGCAGACTAGGCAGTCTGGGGTTCAATCAGTAGCGCTCAGTCTGATCCAAAAATAATTAAAAGAGCAAAACATCATTGTGTCTGTCTTTACATGCGAAGATAATCTGCAAAAAGAGCCGGGGTAAACAGCGGGCACAGAGGTATTTTGGGGCACATGGAGAACATGCAATCATCAAAGCAAAGACAGACAGAGACAGACTCAGAGTGTACTGTCTCTCTGTTTCAACGTGATCTGGATCACTTTTGTTAGATAATTAAAGCCTTTTCGGGTCGCCATTTCTTTTCCTCTCCTAATTTAAATATTTAGATGTATAACAAGCATTAAAGTGTACAAGACAGGAACAGATCTCTGTGGTTAAACTGCATTAGTTGGAATTCCACAAAATACACCCCTACAATAGTTAATATGTTTGACCTTCAGAACAAAAGACTTAAAGCCTTAAAAACAAACACTTTAAGCCCAAAAAGATGATCTTACCTTTTCTCTTTCTCTGTTCTGCGACCCACACATGCAGACAGTAAACCCCTGTTGTTTTTAAAGCCTTTGAGGCTGACTAGCACTTCCCCCAAATCAAACAGAGACAGAGACAGAAGGAGAGTGGGGAGAGAGAGAGAGTGTATGTGTGTGAGAGAGAAACTAAACAAAGGACTTTATTTGAATGCAAGTAAATTTGAGTAAAATCACACTCTTTATTAATTTAATGGACTACCACAAAATTCTGGTTACCTTGTTGACTGAACAAGCAGTTATTGATTACGTGGTTATAACTATTGAGTGGACCGATATGAAACATGATATTCATGGTTCCTCGATTCCCTGCACATTTTTGGTAATTCGACTTCTAGGCTATAGCACGGACTCATCTAGGCTGTAGCACTATGTGAAGATCATGTGGTTTTGAGAAAAAATGTAAAAATAATATTTGGATAATTTAGATTTAGTTACGATGAGTGAGATTTAGTGCAGACTTTCCTTGAGAATGAAATCTACCCTTGGTGCTACATGTAAGACTATTATCCAAAGGTTTTTACTGAGCCCACTCTTACTCTGTAAAACCGAAAACATTACCACCCACCTCTGTTGTACTTTGTGTGTGGTGTTAAATATCAGATGTTAACTCCACATTACACTATAAAAAGCTGGTGAACACAGTAAACATGCAGTTTTTCAGCTGCTCAATCATAGTTACCTACCTATGCAAGCCAAGCTTTAGAGTGTGCAAAGGTGAATGCCACCATGACAAACAAACACAGGGCACCATTTAAGAAAGAGCTCAAAGGCCAAAAATCAGTGATAATCAACATGAAAGACTCAACTTGAAAAAATGTACTAAAAAGAGCTGTTTGATCAATAAATAGGGATGAGCACGAAGACCATGCTTTGTGTGAACTTTGCAAAGTTGATGGTTAATCTTCAAAAATGTAGAAAGAAAACAAGATCATCTGTTTACACTGACTTAAAGTTTTCTTGCCATTGAAGGTTAACAAGCCAGTTGCAATGTAAATAAATATATTGGCTTTTATGTTACCGATTTGCTCAAAGTCCAACCTGGGTAGCTGTTTGTTTTATGTGGGGAAAAGTAACACACATGACCTGAAATTAAGTTACAACAGTGGGATTTAATGAGACTTGGGTTTAAGTTTTATCACTAGTAAATTAATATGCTTTCATTTTTATTCTAGCATCCAATGTTAGCTGTTACTGTGAGCTGCCTGACATGGAGAACGTGTATAGCTGCAGTCAGAAGTTTCCATCCACTCATGAGCATGAATGTCATAGTCATTTGGGGCTTTTAACGACTTCTTTGAACTGTTATACGGATGATCTTACAGTTACAGCATTACCTTAATGACTTTTAGAAAAAAAAGATTCCGGTGCACAAGTTTAAATTTATTGGATTTTCTCTGATCCACACAGGATCAAAATTATACATACAGGCTCAAATAGATACATGCATTCATTTAAATCTTTTAATAAGTATTGCTCAAGGTTCTACAATGTCTTTCGACTTCTTGTTGGGGATCATAATTGAGCACAACTGGGAGTTTCTCTTTGCCGGTGTACAAAGGTAATGTTTACTGTATTGGCCAGTACTCCCAATGGGAAGGTCTCAGGAACTCAGGTATTATAGTTATGTATTTTATAAATTAGGTTTTATTTTTATTTTAACTTTTCGCTTTTAATTTAATTGAGTTTTTATTAGTTTTTGTAGTCTTTTTTGTTATTATTGTATAAAGGGTATATATCAGAGGCAAGATTTAGGAAAATGAGTATCACAAAAAAACCCACAGACCTCCATCCAGTACCTCAATAGTCGAGTTTTACCAGTAACGTACCAAAACTTAGTATTTTCCTGTTTTTTTATTTATATTTTAGCTAGTTTTCCAAATTCACAAAATCAAGTTACTTTAATCTTTTTTTGCAAGTTTTTATTTCTGTTAATAAAATTGTTAAGTGTGTTTCCACATCTAGTTTAAGTGAACTATAATAACCTCGCAAACAACTATCAAAAGTAGAAGTTGGTCGATTGATTTGTTAAGGTCTGATAGTAGACCTAAACTGTCCCCCTCAAATGAGAGGAAACTGGTTAAGAACCACTAATGTTCGCATTTGCTATGAACTGGGAACTGCTGGAACACCGGGGTCACTGTGCACAGAGGAGAGATTTTTACATTGCCATGGGAGTGGATGCCAACCAAGAAAGAAGCCTCTGCTTCAAAATCAGCAACTTGAGCCTCACTCATGAATGAGAAATGGAGGCTTTCTGCAGAAAGGTTTTATGGTAAGACAAGACAAAGGCTGAGCCTGTTGGCCTCAGTGACAAGAGGTATGTTTGGAGGAGTAAAGGAGAGACTTTCAACTTAAGAACATTGTACCAGTGGTGAAGTATGGTGATGGTAGCATCATCCTCTGGGTTTGTTTTACTGCCAGTGGTACTGGTACTTTGCACAAAGTGGACCGAATAATGAGAGAGGACTGCCTCCAAATGGACCCAAATGTATCGGAGTCTCAACATCACAAATTAACAGCTAGACGGTTGAAACATGGACATAATTGGTTGTTTCAACATGACATGATCTCAAACACACAAAGCAGGCCAACATTAAGCTGCCAGAATGGCCTTCCCAAAACACTCAACAGTATCGACAATTTGTGGATTAAAAGTCATGTCCGTACCAATGGAAACAGCTACCAAAGCTGTCTGGTTGAGGTACAACTTGCTAAGGGACATTTAATAAAATATTAGTTGAAGTATGTATATATTCAAGCTTCTGTATAAATTTTGAGGTTGACTTAAACTATCCAGAAAATTTGAACACTTCAAAACAGAGCAAAGGGGAAATTCTCAGAGTGAAATTTACACTGTAGTGCAAAATTAGGTTATTCACCAGTGCAGAATTTACTCTTATTTCCTTTTCCATACATCGTTTTTGGAACCTTCTTGAAAAACAGCGAGGGTCTCAGTTGTGTACATGTGACCAAAATAAGGTACAGAAATTCAGTTTTATTAATGCTTAAACTGGAGAGGTATGATTGAACAATATAGTTTGATACTAAACCCATGTTATGGTTAAAGACATAAATCATGTGCTTTACATCCCACCCAAAAAAACAAAAAACAAACCAAAACAAAGAGATTGAAAATAAATAAGAAAAAAGAAAAAAAAAATCACAATGTCGAGGGAACACTCTGTAATGAGATGTGTCTATATGAAACTTAAATAAAGTTAAATATTCCAAATGCTAATTTTATTATACATGTAAACAGAGCCAGGAAATATCAGCCAAGCTCAGAGACACTTGACTTTAAAAACACAAGCATCAAACTTGTCAGGGTTTGCGCAAATGACTCCTCTAAACAATTCTCAACTACAATCAGTAACAAGCTACATGGTACACATGCTCTGCACATGTTCAAGCCCACAGTGGGTCAGCATTTTCAGAGGTTTCCTGCTTTTCTGCCGTATCAGTGTCCGTTGCTTTTGGTGCTCGTTGCTCTCAGTTGCTTTTATATCGAGAATTGTTTAACAACTCATGACATATCAGATTTTAATGCACACTATACTCTTAGCCCCACGTCTCAATGTGTATGCTTATCATTGTTAAGGGCTCACTTGATTTTAACCCAATCTTCCCATATGTTGAACTCATTAGTAAACATCTAGCTCCAAAGCAGGAAATGCAGTCTTCTGGTGGAAAGTCTTGTTTCACTTGTAATAAGCTTCACTGTTTCCCCTACCACCTCTGGTCTCATGATGGTAGTTGGATTTTGCCGAGCACCTATTCTGCATTTTAGTCAAGCTAAAGGAAGCTGAGATTTAAGCTGTTTCAAATAGATTCTCTTAATGCCACGCACCAACACCAAAGCTTATATTTTTATCAATACCTCTTTGGCATCAGGGACCTGAAAAAAAAAATCAGTATCTGATTCTAGATGGGATAACTGCAGGGTGGGGAGAAAATACTACAAGTAAAACTGTAGGCTAGCCTGAGCATCTCTTATCAGCTGATCACATGCATATAAGCATTTGCAAGTGCAACCAGTTGACATAACAAAAGCAAATTCACGTCAAGTCATTCAAGGAGGAGATACAAAGCACAATAATTCAGCTTTAGTCTTTAGCAATTCACACAAACTGCTAAGAAGACAAAACACCTATCAGTTCTTCCTCATCATTATCTCCAACTTCAGGGGGACTGTCGCAGGTGGCCATGAGCCCCAGGCCTAGCTCTGCCAGCTCCTCGCAGCTCATATCAGTCGTCACCATGATCTTAGTCTCCAAACGGTTACACAGAGTCCTATAGGAGGGTAACGGGTAACCAATCTCTCTCAGGTACTCGTACCCCTTGGTGCCAACTGCACAGCGGATATTCCGGGCTTTCAGGATTGTCTCCGGAGACCAGACAGCACGTCGGGAGCGTTTGGTGAGTGACAGGGCTCGGATCTGGTCCTCATACAGAAAATTCTGAAGACCCTTTTCAAGCCGGTCAAGTCGATAAAGACGCTTCTTCATCTCTTCAGCCTGACAGAAACAGGAGTGTATGGTTAGTTTGGGCCATTTTATTGCACATAACACTCATTATTTTGTAACAACTTTCATAATAATTTGCATAACGCAATAAAACCTTACAATGCTGTCCAAAAAAAAAAAAAAAGAAGCCCAACAGACCAGGCTTTGATTTGCAGGGGAAGTCATCAGCTGTCCTACCTCTTTCTGTAGCCTTGCAGTGTGTTGCATCTCCTGCTCCAGCTGTTTCCTAAGCAGCTGGCAATGTGTGCAGGGCTGCTGATCTTCAGATGTTCTGTCCGCATCTTCCTCCTCTAAGCCAGGCAAAGGGGTGCGTCTGGCATAGCCATGATCCCCGAAATTCAGCTCCTTCTCCACTACACCAAAACACAAGGGAAAAAAGTGCAATTAAATTTCTGAGAACTAGAGTAGAAAAACATCCAAACAAGAAGATATCTTCTTAAATATTTCTGCAGACATGGAGCAATAACTGTACATAGAACTTCTGGGTTTTTCTGTTGAGACAAACATTTCTATTTTTTCTGCAAAATGCTCATCTACATTTGCGAGCAACCAGACAACACTGCTTATGTGCAATGTGTTGTTGGGCTGTTTTTACTGTATTTTCCAATAGAAATGCTTTCTACAGCAGTTCATGATGTGAAAAGTAAGAGATAACAGACAACTATACAGTAAGTGTCGTGACCTTTCATACACAGCAAGCATTTTGTAGTTCACCAAAAATCCATCCATTGAATTCAATTCTAATCAGAGTAAAAAGGATCCAGAGCAACTTTACACCTTAGATTTCCAGTACCTGGCTCAGGTTTCAAAGGGTGCAGGATGTAGGGAACCGTGAATGCGGGGTAGGGAGGTTCTCCAACATTGAACAGAGTGGGGATAGCATTAGGTTTCAGCTTCTTCCCCCCAGCTGGAGACCTGGCTATTTCCTCAAACTGGCTCTGCTCAAAATGGTCCTTAAAGAAATGAAGCAAGTGCAAAGAAGACATACACTGAATCAAAATAATGAAAAACCAAAAGACATGAATTATAGATATTATGACAAAAGGTTAAAGATTGACAATTAGCTGAACTCAGAAGATAATTATCCGGTGAATAAATATATAAATCCTAATTCTATTTATTCAATTAATCCATGATTCTAGTCTGTTTAGATTTGGTTCTACTTTTTTTCTATTACTATGTTGTAAACTTACTTGACAGAGTCTAGAGTGAGGAGTTGGTTCAAAGTCCCGTCGACAGTTCACCACCCATTTCTTCTTCCGCACAGGGTCTTTGGGGAACCGAAACAGCTGCTTGCCTATGCTGGTTGAATTGGAGCAGTTTGGAGCGGAGCAGCCACCCATTGCACACACAGTCACAACAAACAGCAACAGCACAGCTAAATGTTAAGTTAGCTTGGCTTACAGTACAGCTCAGCTGTGACTTTTAATCATTACTAACTGCGTGCACGCTCTAAAAACGAGAAAATGTTACACTTGCATCAAACGTTAACTTGTGGAAAGCAAAGTCATGCCCTGTAGATTTTTAACAGAAAAAAACCCCACGAAAACAACTTATATCATCTTAACGGGGATAAAATATAGCTGACTTTGTTTGAGCCAAAATGGCGTACTTCCCCACGGTGGTCAAGTATGGTGACGCACTGTTTGTATGCGTCTGTCGGGAATGCCTGATTGAAAATACCACGTACCGCGCAAAAAGCGAAACAGAAGCGGTCAAATGAAAACATAAAGCACACACGCTTGATAACGTTTTACGCTAACTAATTTTAATTTTTGTTTTGCAAGTATTTAGTGGCAAGTGCTCTTTATTTGGAGTCAGGAAACAGTCGAACTGCTGTGAGATATTTTGTCACAGGACCCAAAGAAGCACGTTGAAATGTTTTTGGAAGTTGTTAGCGGTTGATACATTTAAATACTCCCAAAAACAACAGTAGTTAAAGTAAACACTGCGATTTTAAAGACACTGTAACAAGTAAGCGACGAGTAATGTTTCGGAAATCCAGCAGCTGTTAATTAAAACTCTTCCTGAGATAAACTAGCTCATGTTTCAGGTAGTCGTCAGCAACTTTGCAGTTTAAGACAAGCATGGCATCTTCGCTGGTAGTTCCTGTCATTGATGTCCAGAATGAAAACTTTAAAGAGCTTTGGCCTGCTATGGTCGTGGCTATTAAAACGGCGTCCTTCGTTGCACTGGACACGGTAATTACAAGTTCTTACGTGTTGAAAGAATTTGGTTTCTTTCAGGTTTCTCGCCACTTTAGATGCACAGATGGTAATGTGGGAGTTTGCAGAAAATTCACATTCCTGTTTTTTTAGGAGCTGAGCGGTCTTGGGAACAGGAAGTCCTTGCTGGCTGAGTGAGTAAAGGTCTTTCTGAGCTGAAATAGTATTAGTAGGTTGTGCAAGAAGCCTTGGGAAGTAGATGCTTGTATTTTTCTCTGGCTCTTGTAATATTTCAGATCCATTGAGGACAGATACAAAGCTATATGTCATGCAGCTCGGTCCCGCTCCATCCTCTCGTTGGGAATTGCCTGCTACAAGAAACTTGATCAAAAGGTGCAAAATGATCCTTTTAGAGTGGCTTAAATGTTGTCATGTACTACACATTAAACCAGTTATTACACCGTACTCATAAGTGTAACATGTTTGTACAGCAGTGCCAGTTAGACTGTTATACACATTTAAATAACGCTGTTAGATCTGTATCAAATTACAGAAACTGCCACTGCAGATTTCACAAATGCCACAGGTGATTCATCCTTCCTTCTCTTCCCCCAGCCTGCAGACTCGTACCTGGTGCAGGTGTATAACCTCACCCTTCTATGTTCAGAGGAGTACATCATAGAGCCCCAGTCAGTGCATTTCCTGGTGCAGCACGGATTTGACTTCAACAAGCAGTACGGCCACGGAATCCCGTACTGCAAGGGCAACAATAAGGTAAAGTTTCCTGCTGCTTTGAGTTGTGTCGTCCATTCTGAGTGTTCTGTACCCGCTGTGTTCACTCTGCTGCTTTTCTCTGTTATTTACCACGACTATGTTCTGTCCAGCTCATCACATGTACAGTGACTAACACGCACTTATGCAAAAGCTCTACAAGGATGTAGAGCTTGCTCAGTCAAAAGGTGTACTTACTTTTTCAAATAATATTACATCTGCTGACCTTTTTCTTAAAAAATAAAATAAAATAAAATAAAAGGTGTCTAACTTATCACGCCAGGGAGGAGCAGTAGGTTTGCCTCTGATGTCAGTTCATTTTCCTCTCTGTTCTTTGTTCTTCGTAAGGGAGGTGCAGATGACCGCGGCGTTCACATCCGAGCACTGTTCACTGAGCTGCTGCGTGCTCGGAAGCCCCTGGTGCTACACAATGGTCTCATTGACATGGCTTTTCTGTACCAGGTGCAAGTTGTTGTCTTGTTTTCACTTTCCTAAGATGTGAAATCTGTTTATGACATTTTCTAAATACCTTTAACATTTATAAAGTATTTATAATAATAGAACTCTTATTTTTACTCTATAAGACTGATGTTTAGCACTGTTGTTTCACATCAAGATGGTCCTGGGTTCACAGCCAGAGCACGTCTGTGTAGTGTACATTTACAATAAAAGGAAAAACTCCAAGGTTAATGCTGCCTGTCTTAGGCCTGGATATGTTTTACAAAACTGATTTAACATTTCTAATGACTTCCTGGTCAAAGAGATGTTTGAGAAGATTGACGAATGTTTGTGTTTTTTTTCTGTTAGAGTTTCTATGCTCACCTGCCCGAGCGCCTGGCCACCTTCACTGCTGACCTGTCAGAGATGTTTCCCGCTGGGATTTACGACACCAAATATGTCACAGAATTTGAGCTTCGACTCTCTGCCTCCTATCTTGAGTACGCCTACAAGAAATGGTGAGTAATTTTTATTTATTTATTTATTTTTTGTGTTTTGATTGAATTTTATAGTGGACATTAATTTGCCACTGATATAATTTGCACAACTTGATGCTAATTAAGTTCTCTAAAAGGTAAACAGGACAGTTCCACGTGTGTCCTCTGTGATGTAATGCAGCAGTTACCAGTATGTAAAACCAAAGAACAAAGCCCTTTAACACTTCTTAAAATAATTGATAACTCATTTTTTTTGTAACCTGTTGGCTAAGTCGATGATGAAGGTGCTAAGATTTGGAGTAGAGCAGAAAAGTCTGGTGTCCATAATTATGTCAGTGTACGTTGTCTTTGAAACATTAACCCTGTTTGTCCTTTAAAGCCAAACAAAATCAGCTACCTGTCCCTCTTCTTTCATATCATGTTCTCTTTTTCCCAGTAAGCTGGATAATGGTCGCAGTGTGGACTCCGGAACAAATGGACCTCATGTTCACATAGAGTTCTGTCAGTATGCTGGTCACATGTCCACCTATGTGGACTACAGGGAGTCTCCAGCTGTCGCTTCTGTTGAGGAACAGACTGACATCTGTCAGCGCTTCTCTGTAAGTTTCAACCTTGGATCTTCAGTTGTACAGTTGTGGAAAACTAAAGTGCTCTTTTCTCTCCTGTGTGTGTGTTTTATTTTTTCTTTTTGTATGTCTGTTATAATGCAGGAGCCAAATAGATATCATGAAATTGTGTGTGTTTTTACTAATTTACCTAACTTTGTGTTTGTTTGTTTGTCTGCCAGGCATTTGGTTGGTGTCCGAATGGCACAAAGTGTCCGTTATCCCATGACACAGACCGCATCATTTTCCAGGACGAGAAAAATAAGGATGACAAGAGGAAGAAAAGGAAGAGACAGAGAGAGAAGAAGAGAAGTGAAGGAGAGGGCTCCTCCATCTTTGATGGTTCTCCGGAAAATAAAATCCCCAACATGGAAGTGGATCCAGAAGATCCGCCAGGAAACCAGCGAGGGACAGTTGCTGAGATGTGCCCAGATGGTTTGCCAGCAATGGACAGTGATGGAAACACCCCACAGAGTGAAGGAAAGAGCTTGGCGACTGACAGCAAGGGGAACAGTGTGTGTGATGAGAACATAACAACAGCCTCAATTGATGACAGCCGGAACACAAAAAACAACACAAATGATGGAAAAAGTGGCGAAGTGAGTGGGACAGGAGCAGGGAGAGAAAAGACGAATGACCGCTCAGCTGGGATTGAAACCCAGAAGAAGAATGCTGACGCAGGGACACATCGGGCAGGATTTGACGCCTTTATGACAGGATACATCTTCGCCTACTCCTGTACCGTCATCAGGAAGGAAGAAGCTGGAGAAGCAGACAAGGAGCAGGAGGAGGAGGAGCAGTCGTGGCTTCCTACCTGTCTTAACAAGGTCTATCTGAGCGGCAAGGTAGCGCCTCTCAATGTGGTAAAGAGTACCTTCTCCAAGTCGTCCAAGGCCCACATGCAGAAGATGGAGATGGTGTGGGGCAGAAGGTGTTAAATTTTGTCTCTCTTGGTTTGTAAGGAATAAATCCCACAGACTTGGACTTGAATCCAGTGACCATTGGGGATGCTTATTGTTTGAAATATATTTGCTTGTAATTGACCTTCTGTAAATGCCATGGTTCACCCAAATCACGTGGTCTCCATACTTGGTCAAAACCTTTGTCCAGATCAAATGAAACCAGTGTCAATATATTAGTTTTTCCTTCAGCCTCAGCTTAATTTGTGTTATTTCAGTGTTGGCATGCTAAGTCATTGTCAGCATTTAGGCATATGCAGTTAGCATTTAGCCCTAAACACAGCAGCACTAAGCTGTGAGTGGACGGCAGGTTGACTCCTGACTGTGAATGAGAGGACAGTTCTGGTGTAATCATCATTTTATCCTAATGGGGAAATGTTCCTGGAGGATGGAGGAATTGATACCACTGACCAAACTCTCATAGAGCACCACCTTCTAATGCAATCATTAATCCATTTGTCAAATATTACATTTAAGATCCCTTGAGTATCGAGGAATTATAACAACAATGGTGAATGAGCACCCAGTTTCTTAAAATCAATGCAGCTTTGCGTTTGAAAAAATATCCCATATTATGCTTACAGTTGATTAAAAGATTAAATGTGTTTTTCTGCTCTTAAAATGTGAGTTGGCAATCGTCAGTAATTAAGATAAAAACAATCCATGGGTGTGTGATTTATAATTAAAAGGGAAGTTTGGAGGTACAGGGGAGGAATAGTGGATACAGTGAACAAAGGATTTTGAATATGGAGCTGCCAGGCAGGAGGAACATTGGAAGCTCACAGAGAGGATCTATGCATACAGGGAAGGAGGACATGCAGAAGGTTGGTATGAGAAGGATAGGGTGATACGGAAGCAAACGTACTGTAGCAATCCTAAAGGAGTTGTCAGAAGAAGAAAATCTGTTGGGTTTCTTAAGTGTTATTAGCTGAGCTACAATAAGACAGGCCCCAAATCATCTAATCAGATTTTTACTACTTTAAATAATTGAAGTTATAACATCCTGTGGGTGATTATCTATGAACAATTTGAAATGTGATAAGTGAACTGATAAATTATGCATTTAGGTTCTACTTAATGATAACATATATGGACTTCGCCATTTAGTTAAACACACATAGAGAGTTAAGTTTGATAAATGAATGAATGATAATGAAATATTGAACAATCAGTAGTTAGGAACTGAACTTAGCTTAATTTAAAATTAATATTTCAAATGATTGTGTTACTTCTTAGATTTTTTTCCTCAGAAATTATAAGGGGATTTGAAAACCTATTACAATGACAAGTTATCTTAAAAAAAACAGTATTTTATGCACAATTGTTACTTTTTTCTTTCTTTTTCAAGTAGTTTTTCGTTTATGGGACACACACTGAGAAATGACATGAAAGACGAGCTGAACGAGCAGAAGCAAAATTGTAGACGCAATTGCGCCTGGCATGCAGAAGAGGGCGGTAACGGGCAGTAAGGTCATCTTGACGCTGCTGAAAAAAAAGCAACGAAGAAGAAACACTCTGTTCGGGAGGAAGGCGTGTGTGTAGTGGAGAAGCTGGTGACAGTCAGCGGACCTTTAGTGTGCGTGTCTCCTTTGGTTCACACAGGCTTCACCTCAGCGCTCTGTGGCACAGTTACAGTTATTTTTCTGTAACGGCCAAATGAGCGAGATAACGTTAACGTCAGAGAACCGCAGCTGATACTCTAGCAATCAGAAATGGCAGCCGATGAAATAGACTACAACATCGTGTTTCCAGATGCAGGGACGTCGGGTGAGCAACATTTCATTGTACTGTATGCTCATGCCTCTGTTAGCTTAGCCTACACGCTAGCTGTGAATTACAAAGCCGCGTTAAAAATGTGTTTTTTTCCCCCAAATTAGCTCCAACTGTTTGGACAGTTGGAGCTAATTTAGCCTAGCTTTCTGTAACTGTTTGCCTCATTTATTTTCTTTATTTCTTTGTTTTGTGTGTGTTTTAATCGTGTGCCTTGTTTTCAGAGAGACACTGGCAGGGGACAAAGGAGCCAGTTGTGATACTGTTGGGCTGGGCTGGATGCAAAGACAAGCACCTCTCGAAATACAGCTCCATCTATAATGAACAGGTTCAAACTATATGACACGAGCAAATCACCTGCTCTCATCCCTTCATGAGGATTGTGCCATTATAAATGTTGCACAGGACTGGCCAGTTTTTTATACATCCACTTCTCTCATTCATGCTCATTGTCTTTGTTTTCCATGCTTGCAGGGCTGCGTCACCATCCGCTACACGGCTCCTTTGAAGACTGTCTTTATCTCTGAGTCGTTTGGATACAAGGAGCTGAGAAACACGGCTCTCAAACTGCTGGAGATCCTCTATGACTACGAGGTGGAGAACAGTCCTATTTTCTTTCACACGTTCAGCAATGGTGGCTTCATGCTTTACCGCTACATTGTAGAACTGCTACACAGTGACAAACAGTTCAGTTCGCTGTCTGTTGTCGGGGCCATTGTGGACAGCGCTCCAGGTAGCGGGAACGTCCGTGGGGCCCTGCGTGCACTGACGGCCACCTTGGGTCCAAAAATAAGTCCTGTTTTAAGGTACATCCTCCTAGTTCTCTTTGCTGTGACTGTTTTCCTTCTGAGAATCGTGCTGTACCCGTTGACCAAGTACATTCACAAGAACCACTACGATGCCGTGCAGGACAGGCCGCCCGCCTGGCCTCATTTCTTCCTGTACTCCAGGGATGACCAGGTGATTAGGCACAAAGATATTGAGAGCTTTTTGGAGACTTTGAAGCAGAAAGGTGTCCCTGTGGACAGTTTTGATTTTGTCTCCAGCTCCCATGTTGGCCATTTCCGGTATTTTCCTGAAGAGTATACTCTTAAGTGCCATGACTTCCTGGTTGCCTGCATGAAGGAGTTGGAAGGGACCGAAACAAAAAAGAGACAACACATTCAAAGTCATTGAAATGTCTGCAAAGCTGTCGTATGCAGATGACAAAGGGAAGAAAACCAGACTGCTGAGTCAGTCAGTGTGACACTAGGGTGTGAAATCCTGCCAGTTTATCAAACACTAACTCACGTGCTGATGAAGTATGTGAAGCAGTTATATACCACATGAACCTGATGATGAATACAATCCAATCAGTAGCTATACACTGGAGAATTTGAACTCTATCCTTTAGGATAATTTAAATATATTTAATATTGATGTGAAATGTGATTTATTGTAGATTAGCGGTAGTGGTAAGCAGTTTTGAAAATGAAAAATCTGGTTGATCTGTATCTCCGATTTATTAAATTTAATATATACGTGGTTATATTCTAATGGTTTTATATCGAATGAGAATGCAAGGGTGCTTCAAGGAAGGCAGATTTTAAACGTGATTGAATGTTTTCTTCATTAATGGAACTTTGAAAATTGTTGCCACGTAGAGTAAATTCCTTTTATTTTCCTGTGCAAGAAAAAAAAGTAAATACCCAGCCCTAATATGTGAGTTTTAACATGAATTTAATTGAAGGACAAAGCTGATTAACAATGAATGTATATGTCCTCTGCAACTAATGTGTTCTTTTTAACTGACGTGCCTTCAATAAACCTGAATGCTCAGAACATGTTGTAAATTTCTTTTGGTAAGATGCCTCGTTTATTTTTGCCAAATAATAGGTCTCATGACATAACGATGTTGTGTTACATGTTACAAACCATTATGAAGCCTGATTCCTCTTGAGCAACATGGTGGCCATAGTGCAGCATGTTCCATTGAACAAAAGCCGGCAATGAAACCTCTACAGTGGGGAAAATAATTTGATCCCCCTGCAGACTATTTTACTTTGCCCACGAAGAAATGAAAAGTCTCTGTTCACTTGTTTTTGTTTCATTTTAACAGTGAGAGACAAAACATCCACCAAAAGTCCAGAAAGACACATTACATAAAAGCTATTTCTCCCAATGATGCAAAGCAATGTAAGTATTTGATCCCCTACAACCAAGCCAGAATTCTTGCTACCCCAAATTGGTTGTGTCCATATGATGCACACATTAAAATCAATCAATTACACGAACTCTTAGTCTCACGTCTCTGTGTCTAAAGCACACCTGTCCACAGAATCCATTTTTAGGACCAAGGATGTCAAAGGATGTTGGAGATAAAGTTGTAGACCCTAACAAGGCCAGAATGGGCTCGAGATCATCAGCAAGAAGGTGAGAATTGCTTGTGCAATTGGAAGAAATATAAAATGACCATCAGTTAACCTCATCCTGGAGCTCCATGCAAGATCTTTTCTCATGGAGTGAGATGATGATGGAAAAAGTGGTGGATCAGCCACAATCCCCAAGAACATCATTAGGTAATTAGCCCCGATTTATTTGTCCCCATGATAGAACAGAGAAAACCCGACTAATAGTGGTCAAAACATTTTATATTTCTTTTTATTCAATCATCTTCCGGAAGAGAGAGACCCCTGCACAGCCCAAACGCCAGTTGCAGGATCTCTAACATTTGAAGCTCCACATGTGTCTTATATGGTGTTATTTCGGTACTTCACACGTCACACACAGTTTCATTACAAACGAACTCCTTCTACTCAGTTCCTCTTTTCTGTGTCTGATTTATTAGTATGCCTGTGCACTAAAACTTCCTGTGCAGCTTGCAATAACTTCCCCTTTCTAAGGTCTGTTGCCAGGGCAACCTGTCTAGACTTAGTCTCACTCTGTTCCTCATATTCTACAAAAAACATGCAGTTTCTGGTCAGCCTGTGACCTAGTCAATTCTGGGCCTCTCATAAAACACTCTAATGAGCAGATAAGCCTTAAAAAATATCTGTTTAATTCTTAACAGTCCTCCTTTTTCATTTTTTCTCTTGAGAAATGAACTAATTCCTTATTTATCCCATTAAGTTTACTTACATGTTAAAAGCCTAGGGTATAACATAAGTGATTATGCTAAACAAAATGAAACCTTTCAATTGCCCAACCCTATCTGTCCCCTCAACGGGTTGTATGTGTTCAATGTTTCCTTATTATTTTGTCATAATTACTTCTATCCACAATTAATAAATCAAACAAATAAATCAGGGTGTGAGACAGCACCTTGCATTTACGCCGGGCTGTGAGCTGTCCTAAACCTACTTCCGACACCCCCTTTTCAACTAGAATCCCAGTTTAAATTTCTTTCAATGCCAGTTTAAAACCACTCCTGACTTCCCTCAGTGCACACTGTAAACTCCAAAAGATACAATTAGCTTTTTCTGGTAAAAGGTCCTACTTTACTTTCGTCACTGGTTTGGAAACAGCCTCTATAAAGTTAACCTGTTTCCTCTTTAAAAATTTACCTCGTTTCTTCTTTAAACTTAGGCCTGGTTTCTTCGCCCCCTTTAACGGGTAGCACCTATCCGGCCTGAACACTGTGTTTGGGCAATTTACATAATATAAAAATCCTGCAACAATTCCTAGAGTCCCTCTCATTACTTTTATGCTCCCATTATAACCTGTGTCTAACAAGCTTTTGATCTTCTTTGCAATGTAAACAACTAGGTGTCTTTGTGCTCTGTTCTTCTTTTTGGGGTTCCCCTTTCTCTGGTTGGTTCCGTTCGGTCTCGGGCTTCCAGGATTCTCGCCACCCCTGTGTCGCTGTGGTCCTGAAATCTTCTCCTGTAAAGGATAGAAAACAAAACGCCTCTCTCTGCTACACCTCACTAATCTACTGTGTTCATCTAAGGTCCTTTAATTATTCAAAGTTGGTTCACAATATCATGTTCTGGGCTCTATCCTTTATATTAACTTTACTTAATCTTAATTTACTTAATCTCAATGCTCTTTATGTGTGTGAGCAACACTTTTAATTTTATTAAACACACCCAGGGTAAAATATACACCATCCTCATATCAGCATAAATCTCCGCTAGAAAGCACACTCCAAAATTTTGTCTATCAGGATTTACGCCTCTTTTTGCTTCCAGCAGATACATAACGTGCAAAAGTTACAGTTAAGACAGTTAGACAAGTTTCTGCAACATTTTTGTTTCAGCCGTCTCACCCCCACACGTTTGCTGTTGACTTATTCATGGCATGCTTATCTTTAACACCTTCTACATCACTAGTTGCTAAGCAAAGACAAAGCAAGATGTGTTCCACCTTTACCCTAGAAAATAAATCTATGTGATGTTTGTGTATGTAAGCCTGTTATGCATTCATTCACTACACTCCACGCCATACCTGCAAGTTAAAAGCTGTACAGTTAAAAGCTTAATGAATTCCAGGCCTTTGGCCTGGCCTATGTTTAAATCGTGTGTTTGTAAGCGTGTACGCAGTTTATCCTTCTATGCTCCAAGTCACTTACACAATATATCGACTGAGACATCGCGCTCATTGAAGCTTATGACCTTAAATGGACTGAACATCAACTCTGTTAATGAGCACAATCATGCAATGTATGTATACAATGATTATAAATGCTTAATCTACTAAAATACATCCAACCCAAGTCAGAGATTTTCAATCAGTTAAGCTTAAGCATATAAGCAATCACTTATGCATAAGATTTACCGCACCTGAATCATAAAAACTCATTATTTCAAATTAAACCTGAAATTCCCCCCTTTTGACACCTCTTATGTGTCACAAACTGAAAATGCTTCACCAGAGCTTAGGAAATTAAAAGAAAAAAGGTTAGTCATATTATTTGACTAAACACATCAGTGATCCTCCTCTCAGGTATATCTGCTCCAGGCCTGCAAACATGTGTTTAAGGGATGAAATCAATTTAATCATCATGTCAAATCTTTTCGAACTCCTGGCTCCATCCAGAGCCTGCATCCTTGGAACTTCCTAGAAACAAAACCTGTGTGTTAACCTGATCTTCACATTTCATACTCAGTTTTCCCCACTTATGATCCAATCTGTGTTATAAGAAAGAAAACCTAAAACAGGACAGTTATCAGTCATGTGTTTCTTCAGTTAATGGTAACATGAGTTATATTCAAAAAATGTTTCCCCTTTAGCATTTGGCATTCTCCCAACAATATAATGTAATACCATAATCTAACCCCAGAAATTTTCTCAAAGCAAACACCAGCATCCCCAGAATTAAGTCTTCCACTCCTCATGGCAAAAGCAAAACAAAGCAAAGCATCCCCTTTCTCTTGCTGGCATGGTAAATTGTTTGTCCACATTTATTCATCCTAACCTTGGTCCAGTCACACACATTCACTCACACGCATTCACACGAGATATTGCTGATAGTGGAGACTCCCGTGCAAATAATCAGATTCTCCACCCTCAGCAACATGAGCTCATTCATTTGTTTTATTTTGTTTTTTAGGAAAAGAGTTCTTTATGCTCTTGGACTGGATTGACCGCAATCCTTTTAGACAAGGACTTACAACCTGATCAGGTTCCCACAGGTAGCCTTCTCCTCAGCCAGTTGTAATCTGGAAAAGGTCACCTTATATTTGTTCTCCCGGAAATTTTTACAGCGCTGTTAATTCAATCTTGCAGGCCTGCTTAGAACAAAAATGAGAAAAAAGAGAGCTGATTATTAGCTCATCAAAGCACAAAACAAAATCACCTGCCACATGTTCACCTGCTCAATACACAGAAAATCTTGTTAAACGCCACACAGTCACAGTGTCTCTTCCAGTGCAAGCTTCACGCCTACAGTCAGACAGGAAACTCAAGTTCCTCTTTTTCTTTTCCTGTCCCGAGTCATTCAACTACTTTGCATACTAAGTCATCTCTCAAGAAGTTGCCGTGTCAAAAGAAATGCATGTTTAAACATTACCACCTTATTAAATTATTTTTATTTCTCACGTGCTAAAGATGCTGTCTAATCTTCGTGAGCTTCATGAGGTTAATGCACTTTCTGTTTGTGTGTGATTGTGTATATGTTTCTTTTCGCAGTGTTTCAGACTAAACAGTCAGTTTTCTCTTTCCCAAATTTGCTAACCCAAATTTTGATTTCCCACATTAAATAACAGCATTCCTCTGTGTTCAGCCAGGAGTTAGAGCTCACTGGTGAGGTTTAGTGACACATTGCGCTGTAAACACTTCAACCAGAAACTTGCCTGAACGTTTCCAGTGATGTTAACCTATAACTTTCTTCCGACTGCTGCATGTGGAAAATTGATCCAGGTCTGCTTTGCACCGAGAAGTATTCTCATTCTTAAGTGTAAGCGTGTTCTTCATTGCATTTATGTTATGTGGTCATATTAATGTCGAGTGTAAGCTGCTTCTTCATTGCATGTGTATTTTCTAATCAGGTTTAATTCATGCCTCTTTGCACTGAGCTGTGGATTCAAACTGTCTCACTTCTGATTATTTCCAAAAATAATTTCACATGTAACAATTTGTGTATGTGTGTTTTCTATTCATTCACGTAATTGTTAATTCATGTATTTATTTTTCTCGGTCTTTTCTTTTTTCTTTTCTTTTTTGTTGTTGTGATGTGGTGGACATTTCTAAACCTCCATGATTTCAGCTTCCATTTTCAATCCAATTATATCCTGTACTCTCTCACTTGAACTCGTCCGGGCTTGACCTCTCACTGGTCCCTGTCCCTCTTCTCACAGTGTCCTGTGTGGCCTTCAAATCTCCAGCAAACACAGTCCCACTCA